CTGGCCTGGTTGTAGGCAGCCATCTTGTGAGGGTGTGAGGGTTAATTTGCATATTACTTCTTTATTATATAGGATATACTTTATAAAATACATTTTTTTTTATTGATTTCAGAGAGGAAGGGGAAGGGAGAGAGAGAGAGATAGAAACATCAATGATGAGAGAGACTCATTGATTGGCTGCTTCCTGCACACCCCCCCACTGAGGATCGAGCCTGCATGCAACTAGGCATGTGCTCTTGACTGGAATCAAACCTGGGACTCTTCAGTCTGCAGGCCAGTGCTCTGTCCACTGAGCCAAACCGGCTAGGGCCTCACTGTCTCTTTCTTCGCCTCCATTAACTGCTGCCATTGAATACCTCAGGTTTTACTGAAAGCTTAGGGATAGTGGAGGGGGCCATAAAGTTTTTTGGACATTCATCATTTTCTCACTGGCTGTCTCCTTAGATCATAACCCACCACCATTTTATTTATTTATTTTTAAATATATTTTTATTGATTTCAGAGAGGAAGGGAGAGAGAGATAGAAACATCAGTGATGAGAGAGAATCATTGATTGGCTGCCTCCTACATGCCCCCCACTGGGGATCGAGCCCACACCCAGGCATATGCCCTTGACCGGAAGCAAACCTGTGACCCTTCAGTCCTCAGGCCGATGCTCTGTCCACCAAGCCAAGCCAGCCAGGGCCCACCACCATTTTAAAAGTCTCCCTTTCCTTCCTTTCCTTTCCTTTCCTTTTCCCTTCCCTTCATTTCCCTTTCTCTTATAATTCTTCCTTTCTCATCACCCTCCCCCCCCCGCAAAAACTTTCTCCCTTTAAAATTACTGTTACTTTATTCTACCAAACAGTTTAATTTTGTCACAATCCTTATACTAGTACCTCTATAACAGAGGTTAAAAACAAATTCATAGATCTTTAGATAGTTCACACAATATATGGCACAGCTTCACTTAAGACAGTATGATGGTGAACTAAAGTCCTCCTAATGATCTATTTCCATTTCAAAACAAAACAAACCCAAAAATACTGCAAACCAAACACTTCTAATGGTCTTTTATAATTAAAAGGTCTAAATAAATGTATAGAGAAGAGAATATAAATTAGCAAATGTGGAAGCAAGAAGACCACTTAGGAGATTATGATATTTTTAAACGGTAAGGATAGCCTGAATTAGGGTGGGGCTAGTTAGATGTGTAGAGAAATAGTTGGATTTTAGGTATTATATGGAGGTAGAATGATAGGATTTGCTGATGGGTTGGGTTTCAGTGTGGAAAGGGAAGGTTCCAAGATTTCTGGCCTGAGCCAATGTAAAAATAAAATTGCCTTTTATTGATCTGGGGAAGACTAGAGGAGAGACACCAAAGGAGGAAGAGAATCAAGGAATCAGTTTTAGATATATCATTGAGATAGATGAGCTTGAGTTATCCAGATAGAAGATAAAACTCCTTTAGCCATTCACTCATGGGTGATGGGAACCATGAGATGTGTATAGAGAGCAGAGAGGACAGACTTTGGAGAATGACCACATTCAAGAGAAATCCGTCCAAGTTTTTTAACCACATAGTCTATAATAATATAGAAATTACCCATTATTTAAAGTCAGAGTCTATACTAATACAATAATAGCAGCAGGTTTTTTTTGTTACGGCATACTTCAAAAAAATAGATATGTAGAAATTAGCTTTCATATTTTACTTAGGTGAGATAAAAAATTGTTTATCTGATTTCAACAGTATTATCTTTATGTACATAATTAAGGTTACAACAAACATGCTTTAACTTCTACATGCAATGTCAGTATTACAACAGGAATTTTTGAATTGGTCTTGTCTTTAATGGCGGGGTTTTTTAAAGCCTGATTCTACCACTGTTGCCCATGTGGTTTATTCTTTCAGCATCTACTACATTCACGGCACCAGTATGCACATGGCTAAAAGCCTTCTTGATTGTTTATGTGGGTGGTAAAATTATCTAACTGCTCAGCTTTATATTTCAGTCTTTCATTTGTCAAACATATACAGTACTATTTCCACCAGACGTCAGGAATTATGAACAGTTTATACTCTAGCTTACACTGTCACCTGTGGGCTGAGGCCAAGCGTGGAAAGATTGAATGTATAAGTGCTTTGGAAAAACAGGTTGCTGGTGGGAGAACCATGCTCTTGATTTTTAAGTTTGTGCCTTTATAATGTAAATGCATAGTTATTTACTACATTTCCTCACTTGTAAGACACACAGTAGATTTAATAACAACTTTTTAGAATTGTGAATATTGAATTAAAGGTATGCAAAGCTTTTCTTACTAGCTGCCAATATAGCAAGTATTTATCCATATAATTGATACCTCAATATTCTTTAATATCACAAAGTTTTATTCTAAGTTCTCCTCTCATTCAAAGACTGAAGAATCCCTTGAATTATGTCTGGCCCTAAGCAATTATCCAAAGCATCCCAAGGACACACTTGTGCTTGTGATTTTTTTCCAGTTTTTTTGTTGTTGTTTTTCACTTTTTTAGAATATTGTGATTGACTGTATAAACTGTAAACTCTAGACATCTTCAGGTGAAGGAAATACAGTACTACATATAAAGTTAATTTTTGGACCCTGGCCTATTTTCCTTCTGATCTTTTCATGCAACATTGGCTATATTTCACAGATTTTGTGCTGAACCTTAGAGCAATTTAAAATATCTTCCAATGTAATCAGAAATAAACATTTATGTGTTTTAGAAAAATGACAACTATCAAGATTTTGGTTAAACCAGATTAAAGAATTAAAGTCCATAGATCATAATTTAGAAATGTTTTTCATAATGTGTTATTAATTTAGTACAGGCAGTTGCAAAAGATATGGCCTAAACCAGTGGTCGGCAAACTGCGGCTTGCGAGCCACATGTGGCTCTTTGGCCCCCTGAGTGTGGCTCTTCCACAAAATACCATGTGCTGGCGCACACGGACAGTGCGATTGAAACTTCGTGGCCCATGCGCAGAAGTCGGTATTTTGTGGAAGAGCCACACTCAAGGGGCCAAAGAGCCGCATGTGGCTCGGAGACGCCCGTTTGCGCCCCCTGGGCTTAAAAAAGTCTTTTTTGAATACTTGGAAAAAAAAAAAAAAAATTGTCCTTTTTTTTTTTTTGGGAATTCCCCAGGGGAAAGGGGCTTGACTTTGGAATTAAAAACTAATTCCGTCCTCCGAGAGGATTTTAAAGAAAGTTTTTGAGGTCTAGAAGTTTTTAAAAATGGGAAACCCCTGGGGGACTTAAGTCTTGCCTTTGGGGTAACCAAAGGGTTTCCCCGGGCCCTTGG